TCTGGATGTATCAGAAATGTTCAAAGCTTGATGGAAGTACACAAGCCCCAATATTCAAGTTCAAAATGGACCTTCCGACTAACGATTTACTAAATATCAGGAAAATACTGTATGTGAAATATGGGTTTAAGCTTAAGCGTTAAGTTACTTTTCTTGTAGGTGAAATGCTGCGGTAACTTTACTGCTAGCGATTGGCAATATCCTGCTGAGGGAGTGAGGATTCCTTCTTCTTGCTGCATTCAGACTGGATCTACAACTGAAGAGAAGTGTCATGAAATGTACACGCAGGTAACGCATCCAGCTAAAATACTTTATAGAACTTTTGAGTAAACCACAAAGGTGTTGTAATATTTACAACATTATTCATTTTACAACAAGGAAAATTTAAGGTTTTAAAATTGCAAAAATCAAAATCTAATTTGGTCTCAAATTCTTGTAATTTATATTTAAAACATTATGGTCTAAAAAAAAATCGGTTTGCATCTGAAAGAAATCCACGAATTGGAGGGTGCCAAACGATAAAAAAAATTGAACCCAATAAACAATATATAGATGTTAACGGTAAACTTTTGGTTCAAGGGTTGTTATCTAAAAGTAATCGAGTTTTTGAAAGAAATCATCGAAGTTGCCGCTATTGGAAAAACCTTCTTCCCGTTAGTAGGAGTAATTTTATCCTGCTGCCTAGCAAGTGTTATAAACAAAACTAAATATGAACCAATGGCTAAGGGCTTCAATCCACTTGAATAACGCACATAAATGATAAGCCAGACAACGTAAGACATCAAAATATTACTTTTCAGCGATTAGGCTAATATTCAAGTACTTTATACATATTTTATAATGTGCACTTTGCAAACTGTTTTTTGTTCCATTTGTCATATTTTTTGAATGAATATATGTTTGAATATATTGAATGACAATATGAATTGAATTTTTAATTTATTGAAACATTTTTTTCAATGAAATGTGTTGTGATCACATAAATTTTAATAATGTCATTTTAGGTTGAAAATAACATAACTAAATAAGTATATTTTTCACGATGATCAAACCATCGCTGGTATAAAATTTTATAAATGAATTCAAGACTTATGCTCTGATGCTTTCTTTCTTCTATATATACGTAACTAATATTTCCTAATTTTGAAGTAAATTTATAGAGTTAGCACGTTTATCAATTTTTTAATAGTAAAGGATATGTATTACCAAACAATACCCATTATTTTTTATAATTATTACTTGTTTTAATTCAATACTGATCATATAAATAGAAAAGCACGCAGATAATGTTTTAACGCAGGTCTTTCTTTGTATTTATTAAACAATATTGTTATTTCGAATTGCCTTATTAGTACATCTACTATATAGTGGAAATCGGCACATTTTGAATCCACTTTAATGCCTTTGATGAGTTTAAATTTTATTATAATCTATACATCTCTATTTTAGCCTTTCAGTTACTAACTTTTAATCCCTTACGATACACTTGCATTTGCAGGTCATTTCGGCACGTCTGAATTCCAATTTATGTCCTGCTTTTATTCTTTTATTTTTATTATTCATTAGGGATTACTCCATTTCATGGTATTAAAACAAAAATTTGTATTTACTGTGTTTAAACATCTGAAAAATACAAGTCCCTACTTGCTAATTAAAATTATAGTTTGCATTATTATTATTTAGATTAGACTCTAGACTAATTTTACAACATAAGGAAATATTTAATAAAATAAATGAACAAACTGATTTCTAATTGCCAAGCAAAAGCATAACAATGAATCGTCGAAAGGGTGAACACGCAAATTCTTAAATAATCATGTTTATTCTGTACTTTGGAGTATTTGTTTCRAAATGGTCTATGACTATTGAGTTTGCTACCGACAGTGRACGAAATCAATCGATAAATCTATTTGTCGTGTGAATCGCGTTCTTAAATRAGAAATATAAAATAATTGTGGCCCTTATGGCAAGTGCGGTAGTTTGCCAAMGTGTAGTGATATTTTTKATTATTTATGGGTAGGAAATGGAGGATGGAGCGCCAGCTTGCAGAAAGCTGGTAAGAATGATCTCTAACCTATAAATATTTTAGCTTGTACTGAGTTTAGTTTTCCGACATGCTACTGAAGTTTTATGGATTGTTTATTTTCTCCTCTCTTTGCTTTGTTGGTTTCAAATAAGTTTGGATTTTTACAGATTTTGTGCTGYATTAAACGCATTTTCTAMTAAGCAGCTTTTGGYAAGTWTAGCATTACTTYGCTTCTGGTTGGCATGTACATGTAGRACTTTTAGTACCATATTCATCAACTGACACGTGGGGTGGATTTGGTATCGACTGAGCTATTGGTTCTTTCTTAGTTAATTTTTAAACTTTCGAAATATTTTGGGCGGCTTTTTATTATTGAATCAAGCTCATCTGAAGCGTTTTGCTAAACAACCGCTTCAGATATGGAAATTTAGGTTCCAATTGGGATTCAATACAAGAATCATCAGTTTTCTGATAGTGTGGATGTGGTTCCGATTAAACCATTTTTTGTATTTCTACATCCAGCTCATCTGAAGCTTTTCCAGAGCTTGAAAGAAAAATATGGGTTCCAGTTTTATATTTTTTGTTAAAAGAACGTCAACAGTTTTAATTTTGCATGTTTTTTTTTTAATTGCGAAATCGACTGAAACATAACGCCGCCTTTTTTAACGTTGCTTAAGAATCATTTGAGCCACAGGGTTCATGTTTATATCATTGGATAGAGAACTGATAATTCGAATCAGTTATAACAAATTGCGTGAGTACATTCTGGCGGATTGGTCACAAAAGGTCACACGAAATTTGAAAATCAGACATGCATTGCAAGTTTTCGCCACAATTTAACTAAAAAAACGTCTTCGACAGAATGTCAATCTTTCAAGTTTCTATTGGCTTTATCTTGAAACTTGGAATTCTTTATTGAAGAAAGAGTAGTAGCTTAGAGCGTAAAAGCGTTCATTTTAAAATCAACATTGACGAAGYGCACAAAATTCAGGATTTTATGTTATTTGAATTAATTTTTGAAGAAGTTTAGAGYGACATTTAAAGCGTACATCTCTTTAYTGAACGCACAACTCTGAACTTTAGTTATAACGTTATACGTTATAACTCTTAGCGTCTTACTRSAAATGGGWGACTGCAGCCGAACTGCACCAGTACTGTGCCGGTACTATGGGTTGGCGCAACACTGTRCCAACTCCTAAAAATTAACTGAGTTATCCATGCCTATTTCGGGATTTGGGGCTATAAAAGCACAGTTATACGGTTTCCTAGATTTGAGCGTTCGTTAAAAWGCACATGTCTTCATATATGGAGRATTCCAAATGCGTCGGGAGAAATCCAGATATAATCCAAGCTTTGATTATTTGTTTGAGAGAAACAGAAAGCYTTGTTCAACAGATGGAACCATATATCAGTTTAGTTAATTTCAAAAGGCTAGTTCTGAAACCAGAACATTTTACAGAATCACCAAAAGGTCCAATTTCAAAAAGTTGATTTCTTGAGTATAACATTATTCAACAACATTACGTAAAAATACTGGCTTATTCCAAATCGACACTAAGAAAGTGTTCATTTATAAACTTATTTATTTTATTGTAAGTTACAAAAACACTTAATAAATTCAATATTTTATTAGATGCGTAAATAACATAGCTGTAATTACTATTGATTAATTATGAATACATATGAACGAATACTTTGATTACACATATGGTTGTAAAAAACTTAATAATTAAGAGATTTTTACAGTAGTGATGAATGTTATTCGTGAACTGGGTTTGAAAGTTCTAAAATTATAAATTGAATAAAATAGGTAAGTTAAATATTATAAATACATGGCAATCAAATACGTACGTGTAGTCTTATAATATAAATAATAGGGGTTGAAGCATGCTGATAATACTTCTAAGTATATTTATTTGCTCAATAGCAAATTGTAAAGAACTCACAGTATTTTCGTATTAAATCATCGAGCAAATATTATTTCATTCATAAATTTAAACTTTATTAGAAATGTTTACTTTCCTTAATAATACAGTAATCCTATATAAATCTTAATATCACATTTTCGTTTTGTCAATTTCACCCTGATTATTTCTTGGTAAGTCATTCTCCTTTCCTTCCTCCATGATAGCAGCATGCTTTTCTGGCGCTACTACCAAATCACGCAAACTTCTAACAGATGCCCTGTGCGAAGTTCTTAAAGAATTGGCCTTAAACGGCGTATTTGTTCGAGTCAGTAAACGGGGACCCAGGATAGTCATCAGAATGGCTGATATTGGAGCTGTTAACATGATCGATAGAATGCATACCATCATAACCTTATTGGCATAAATATGTTCTTCTGATGTTCGGTCGGTAATGGCTCCTAATATAACTGGTCCGAGAGCAGCCTGAAACAGATAATGTCAAATAAAATAGAAAATTAGGTGCATTTTTTACTTCCAAAGATATTACTCATAATTATTTAGTATTAAGTTTTTAATTTCTTGAAAACAATTTTATTTGTTTGATTTGAGTGCAAATTTGAATGAAATTCTCGGTCGTGGTGGTTCTGAGGAAATATGATATTGTATTGATTTAACAAGATGTTTATTTTTCTGTTTAATAATCGTCGACGGGCTGCAGCTGTCATAAGGGAAATATTGCAAAACCTTTTTTTTTAATTTTAAGAGTGCGTACATTATCTGATAATATTTAAATTTTTGCCTTTTTCGAATAATATTATTTGGCGTTGTAATGGTATACTCACTTCAGTGAGAAATCAACAAGTCGAAACTATTTTAAATCGCTTTATGTGGCGATGCATTTACCAAAGGAAATGGAAAAGAAATTCAAAAATTTTGTACTAAAGAACAACGGGCCAACTCGTGCAAAAATAAACCTATTGATTCCACTGCTCTTAATGAAGCGTGCAGATTGACCATGGCTCTTTTCTCTTTAGATTACTTTTGTTGTTGTTTTGTATCATGAAAATTGTTTTATGACTCAGTTTCATAAAAATTGAGCAAAATGCTAAATCAACGGTTCGTTTGAAAAGCAAGCTTCGTATTCCGTCGGAGCATTGAATGTGGATTCAACTTTCGCTCTACACAACATATCCAGCAGATAGGACTCAAAGTTTTATGAAAATGAATAACAAGTCCGAGAGCATTTAATTTAGCATGAAAACGTATATTCCGTTTCATGACTCGAGGAGTTCATATTTGGCTCAGAAATCTGTTTTTTTCAGGACGACCATCCAAACTAGTTTAAACCAGAAAGTTGCGTTAGGCAATATTTGCGTGCGAACGACACTTTGTACAAAACAGTCAACAATAAAAAAAAGGAAATTGAACTGCAAATGACTCATCCAAAGGGACGACCAAGCCAACAAGTATATCATYACGTTAATTCTGTAGCTCGCTGCYTTCGGAAAGTGGCAAAAACCTCAATTTCGCTTCAGGYTTTTTWCTGCAAAAGTGATTAAATGTTCAGTTTGGTTCSGGAAGTGAAYAACATTCGTCGTCAGTCTTTTGTTCTTAGACGGCATATGCAGATTGATKTGGTGCCAWTAAGMCAAGTGCGCTAGATTWTCCGTTTTCTTCTAACTGARAGATTAAAGATTTCAATTCGTAGTRAATCKTTATTGTTTGTTTAAGTGCAGTGGGAGTTYTTTGAGGAGAATRGAGCATGAGGTGCCAACTTGCAGAAAGATGGTAAGAATTATTTCTAATCTATGAGTCTCTTGGCTTCAAGTGATTCTAGTCTTTCGAGAAGCAGCGGAAGTTGATGGCATTTTTTATTTCCGTTTATTTCATCTGTCCATTTCAAATAATTAAGCTTTTGACTTAGTTTCTGTAATACTAAAGAATCTGTTTTTTTCTCTCCAGGCGGCAGGATGCAGCTTTCGGTAAGTGGGGCATTGCTTTGCCCCTGGTTGCCATGTAGATGTAGAGTTTTTAGTCCCATATTATTGACTTGTATATTATCATATTGCTTCATGCCATACTTATTCGACAAGGAACGACGAGGGACGTTCTGGATTCTGGATTGAGTTTTGACATTTTTCGAATTTTCTTTTGAAAAATTAATTTTAATTGACCTTTGTATGTAAAACTATTAACTTTCTCTTGTGAACTATACTTTTTACTGTTTTGGCAGGTAATTTGCGTCTTTTGCAGATTTTTTCTTCATTAAGTTACACCCTAAATTGAATTGTTTCTAAATTCTCATTTAGATTTTTCAAATTAAAAACCGTTTTTACTCAGTTTTATATATAGTAGGTAATTATTTACATTGCAAGTAATTGCTCAAGGGTGTTTTAGTTGGTAATTATCATATTTTGGCCGTTCTGGACTTCGATAATAAAACCGATAATAATAATTATTTATTAGCGTTTTGCAGAAACAACTTCTACTACCACTTTTCGATGGTCAAAAGTCCACGATTCTTCCATTAACCATTAGTGCATTGCGTTTTGTACGGCATGTATGTAAGAAGAAGACTTATTTGATCAGACACTTTATGTAGAAATTTGGGTTCATTTTGTATTGTTTGGGATATTGCTGGTTATCCACTGATACTTTTTAACTCATTTAAATCAGCTATCGCAACCAAGGGCAAATCGTAAACTTTCACCTCAACTAAAACCAACTAAAAAGTTCTGGTAGTTTTTGTACCACGACACTCAAGAATTCAGCACTTGTCCAAAACGGCTGAACTCGATTGTTTCATCAAAATATGAGTCTTACATTCACAGAAGAGAACAAATTCACAGCGAGTTTTACTAAAATGCATCGTATCATTCTCCCGATATTTCGAAAAAGATACATTTTTTAAAGAACTTTGAACATCAATAGCAGAGGAGCCAGACATTTTTTGTTAATAAAAGTTAGTGCAGATCGTCTTCTTTTGGTCCAAAGAATATCGCAGTACCCGTTACAAATACCCGTACCGGTACAAATTGAGCAGGAGCTAATTAACCGAATACGAGAAGCTGCTCGATAAGAGTGGATAATACGGAGATTACACTGACACTAACCTATTTCGAGTTGTATGTCGAGTGTAAATGTATGTTTATTTGTAAACATTAATTTGAGGTTATGAGGACAATAATTGATATTTCGAAAAAGTACGTTTCATAGTCAACGAATCCTGTTGAATTTACCGTGTATCCTTGTCTATGTTATTGTCACGATCTGTATAATTCCATGGTAACCGGAGTTTTTAATAATTATGAAGCAACAGGTATTTCGTTAATTTTAATTAGGCAGATTACTTTGACAAACTTTGTTGTCGTCTTTTTGATATAGTTTTTTTGCAAATTTTTTGAATCCATTCTTATAGAAAATATAGAAAATTTTAGAAAATTAGGATTTTCCAGGATACCGTTTTTATAGAAAATCGAACGTTTCTAACAAATTTAAAAATTTCCCAATCGGCCCCGATATTAACAGAGTTATGCAGAAAATTGCTACATACAAAAATTTGTTTTTCCAAAAAAACTGCGACCTTAAATGAACACATTGATAACATTGTTTCGAAAATTCGTCTTTTCCACCTTTAACTCTTATGGCTTTTACGTTTTTCAACCGATTTCAGTTTTAAAAAACACAAAATCACTTGCTTTTGGATCGATTTCGAATTGAAGTGCAAACCTTGCCTTGGTGCTTATGGGGCGAATATACACTTTTTTTTATTTCAGAACGCTTCCAAGCAAAGGAAGTGGTACCAAAACGATCAACCTATTTTCTGTTCATTCGAAATTAGTGGAATTCTAAGTGAGTATATTCGAATGAGGAATAGCCTGTAATGACTTAAGTACATGCAGTTTGCGAAAACCACGGGATTCCAGCTTGATAAAACTAATAATTCTTTACATAGAAAATACATTAACGAAGAAGTTGCCATGCTAAAGATATTGCAAAAATAATTAAGTGAGCACTCAAATCAATAATCAAAATAAAATGATGACTGAAAAATATTCTTTCCGCAATTTTGAGGAGTTTGAGGAATTAAGAGCTTTCTCTAGAGATATGTTTTAACTATACATCGAAATGAAGTCATTGACCAGATGTTGTCATTTTTACTCATTTCTGTTTGAACTGACCTGTTTTTTTGTTGAAATAAAAGTTCGATGTGTGATAAAATCCACCATAAAAAATGAACTGGATATGAAACAGGATCATCTGAATGGATTTAGTGTAACATTTACAGACATTTCGCTAGCAGAGTTACGTTTTGGGCAATCGCAATCCTCGTGTTTCTCCTTTTCAGTATAAATACGAGCTATTTTTCGCATATTAGATAATCTACTCATATATTCGTGGACAACTTAGATTTACTTGTCACATATTTCTTTTGAACATAAAACTTCTGCTAATGCAATTTTTATTATCGATGTTGATTGATAGAAATTCGCACTTATATGGCAAACAGAATTAAGCTGATTGGTTAGAATTGACCAAAAGAATGCAATTTTTAAAACATTTTTTTTTAAATTAAACTGAACTTACTTGAACTGTTGCTTTAGCCATTAGCGCCAGTGAAGTGAAAAACTTCTCCTTTAAATTTAAGCCACAGCCTATGCCAAGAACAGCCGTGCTTGCTATACGTATTAACGAAGATGCAACTAGAATGCCAAGGCCTGAAAACAATATATAAATCATAAAAATGGTTCTTAGTATCTTATTTATTTAACTGTATATTTGAGTTAAAAACTTGCGTACCCATAAGTAGAATGTTTCCATCTAATTCACTAAACTTAATTTGAGCACCAGTCACGGAAAACAATATGGGTTCGAAAAACATCCATAAAATTTCGAATCCTTCAGAAGCAGGATTCTTTTCAATATCCCAACCTTGCTTGGACCACACTACTAAAGCAGTGAAGGCTGCTGTAACACAACCAAGCGGACCAGCTCCACTGTAGCCAAGAGTCTCGCTACCAAATACACTTATTGAACATCCCACCAATAAAAGTAGAATTCTTAAAGGCGCCTGAAATATAAATTACTTTTTGTTCAAGAAAAACTCACAAATTAGGATCAACATCTTACCACATAGGGATCATTTCGCTCTGGAGTGTACCGACATAGAATACCCCAAAATAATCCGAAGCCTATACCACCTACGATAGAAATCGGAGCTTGCAGTATAACAGAAGTTAATGATCCTACTGAAAACATTGCTCCTTCTATAATTCCAAATACGGCGACAGATACTGCGTCATCAATTCCAGCTATAGCTATGATCAGAGTGGGGATTCCTTTAGCTACCCCAAATCCTTTAGATCTCAGTCTGAAAAATAATATAAATCAGCAATATGATGGGTTCATGTTGCAAGTAAATAAACTGAAAAGTTACCTTATTAAACAAACTACAGTAACTGCTGGAGAGACAGCAGCAACAACGGCTCCCAACGCAAAACTGTAGTCCCACGGAATGTTTAAACAAAATTTAGACATAATTGCAACAACAACCGATTCAACGAACCAGGGGCCCAGACCAAGTTTTAGTACCGACCACTTCAATCGACGCAAGGCTGATGGATCTAAATCTAAACCTGCTCTTGTCAGTATTATTACTAACGCAATCCTCCTGAAAATACAGACGGAATACAATTATTTTAATGTTATTTTAATTTCGACTAGAGGCAGCCACTCTGAACCCTACCTTAAATGTTTAGTTATATGATTAAATGTATCGTCTATATTCACGACATGTAAGTTTTGCATGACCATTCCAACGAAAAGCATTCCAATCAGTCCCGGTAAATTAGTCAGGCTTATCAACCAGCCTCCGAATTTGGCCGCCAGCACAAGAATCAGCAGCTGAAAAAGTTGTCCATTGGGTGGCGCAGCGATATCACCTAAGGAGAATAATAGTTCTGGAATGATATTTCAATCGGAATAAATACTAAGCATATAAAATAATCCCACTACTATTTACAGCATCTTGTACTATTAAAATCGCCCCTGATAGCCCTTTCTTCGCTGCTCAATTCAAAATTTCTATATAAATGTATCTATAAAATTAGCGAATAGCTTCCTAACGACATCAGATGCGGCGCAATATCTCAGATCTCAAATTACTCAGATGTTAATTCAATAAATTGAAATCAATCACTACAACAGAAAATTAAAGCGAGAGCTACTTTAGACATCTTCTACGGCAACAAATGAACATTCAGGTCAAAAGGAAACTACATGTTTTCGAACTTTAAACTCTTTACGATGTTTGTACAATCTAGTTTATATCTGAGGCAATTGCGTATTAGACAATAAATCATATTTTATTGAAAACTATATTTTTTTATAAATTACCATTAAAAACAACTAAAGGGTGTTCCAATAAGAATGACGGATTTAAATTTGAACTAAAACATACATATTTGTGGCATGTTTGAAACATTTATTGAAAAATAAAGTACACATCATGAGGTTATGAATGGAATAAGACATCGGCCCAGTGACCCCCGCTGCTCTGCTAGCACAAACGTGCTCTTTTCATGAAATTTTGAAGGATTGTTCCTCATAAATTTTGCGGTATTTCAGAGATACAGCGTTGAACTTCATTTTTTAGGGCTTCGATCGTTGTTTGTTTGTTCACATAACCTAGTGAGTTTAAAAAACTCAAAGAAAAATGTCCATAGGCGTTAAATCGCATGATCTGGGCGGACAATGTCGATCTCCAAATCGAGAAATAACACGTCCAGAAAATGACTCGTGCTGACACGAAAACTGCATTTTCGAAGAAGAATTGTCCGATGATGCCTCCAGCCCCCAATGCACACCGAACAGTGACTCTTTTTGGATGCGTCTGTTTCTGAACGATCACTCGTTGATTTTCGGAACCCCAAATGCGATAGTTTTGTCGATTAATGAACCAAGCCATGAAGATGAAAATGGGCCTCAAAATGGGCCGTCACTAAAAATGATGTTCGTTGAAAAATAACCGTCCAATTGTCGTTGTTCCAAAATCCAATCAACAAAGGCTCTCCGTTGCCCATGATCTTCCGGCTTTAGCTCTTGAGCCATTTCAACTTTGAACGCATGAAACTTCAAATCTTTTGTTAAAATTTGATGCATAGTGGTTGTGGAAACACCAATTTCTGTAGCTCTATACAGAATTGATGTGGTTCAGCATTCCTCAACATCTGCACATACTGCTGGGATATTTTCAGTCGAACGACCAAAACTGACACGTTTTTCTGTTTTCACTTCATTAACAGTTTGCTGAAATTTCGTCCTTAATTTTCTCACAGTGGCTTCAGTTGGAACATTCAAGTTCAGAACCGTCGGTTCACAATCCAACGTCATGTTTTTAATGGAACACCCTTTAGAAACTAGCTCTTATAATCTCCAAAATAGTGGCCAGTTCGATGTAAAGGTTTAAAAAGCATCGGCCAACTACATGTGTAGAAAGTTACCAATATCGGGTGTCCCTTAAGTATGTGACAATCTCTCAAGAGCATGCAGAGGAGGACAAAATAATACGTTTTGTTCATATAAAAAAAAATGTTAAGGACCCTTAACGGAGGTATGAGACCTCGAAAGGTAACGTTTACATTTACATTTCCACTCCTAACTTTTCAGAAGATCTCTATATAATAATGATGTTTTAGCGAAATGCGTTTTCAAAAAAGTCATAATATGATTTGCAAACCGAGACTAAAACTATCAAAAGAAACCAGGAACGGACTGGCCCAAGCACATAATCAGTTAAATGTTAGCCAAAGTCATTATTTTCAACTGCAAATATAATTTCTCTTCTCTCGCTTCTTCATTTATGTCGATAAAATGTACGGTTTGTATTTTCAAAAATAAATTGGTTTTAATTTAATCAGTTTTAAATACTGTTCAGGAACTAACGTAAACTACAATGACTTAAATAAATCCCTTTGGTAAATGTTGATTATGAGCTCTCTTTCATAGTAAAGATTGAATTTCTCTACAGTCTCCAGATGAGTCTCCAAATGATATTTGTACTTGAAAATAATGATCTGTTAAAGTATAACTTATTATGTGCTTGGGCCAGTCCGATTGTAATTTTTATAGTCTACCTATATCTATGGCCTAGACGATAAATACGACGGTTTCTCTCTAGACGATAAATTCGAAAATATCAAGTGTTCTTATGTGGACTCGCGCTTTCTAGTGTTTCAAGTTTATATTGAATGTTTTGGCTCTTAAACGAAAAAACCCTTGAGTTTGATGTTTCCATTTTTTGCGTCTCTTGCATTGCTTCAAAAATGACATACTAGATAAGTTTGTCTAGCAGTATTTTGAATTACGTATTATAAAAAATACAATTTCTCCTAAAGGATCCGTACTTACTTACCGGCTATGGTATAAAGAATACACCACGATACCACTCCAATGATAATGAGGGCCAAAAATCGTGAAAAGTCCCGGTAATGAGGGCAATACGGAAATGGGCATAGGAAGGACCAATATTTCGGTTCCCATGTTTCTGGTGTCGACTCTTTTGACCTACATTTAAGGCAAAATGCATACCACCAAGACCTAAAAACAGACATTTATTCAAAGAATTTATGAATGGTTATGAAAGCATTTCAAATCAATAAAATGGAGCAACAAGCAACTAATTTGAAAATTTATTTTTAATGATAAACTTTACCTGGGGTTATCATCACCGTTATCCGAAAATCTGGTTTTCGACTTCTGCGATGCTGTGGATACTTTCGAAAGGCTTCTGGTGAGTTTGTTAATATCCGTTTTCTCAGTTCCATTCATATCATTTTCTGGAACTTAGGAATTATTCTAAGCGAAAATTTTAAAGCGTATGCAATGCAAATTATCTTGGAATATGTATTACAATAAATAAAATGAAGACATTTCGCCTTTGAGTGTTTCTATAAGACAAAGTGTCCCTGCCTCCAAAAATTGTAAAAAATATTTTTGAATTGCTATGAATATAACACCACCTTGACTAAAGTTTTTAAAGTGATTCATTTATTTAATGTTTGTGTTAATTACAATATATAGAAAGCAAATCGGAAAATTAAACAACTTCGAATATTTATACCACCTATTCGGACACCTGATGGAAGCTGGGCAAGAACAGACGCTGAAAAAGAAATAGTATTTCCCGAACTTCTTCGCGATGTATTTGAAGTACCGGAAGCAGAGATGCAGGATGATGTGACCCATCACAAGAAGCAGAAGCTCACGGGTTAACTGACACTCCGATCAAAAACTAAAATTACAAAGATGTAAAACCAATAATTAGAAATCTCAAAGGTAAGAAGACTCCAGGATTCGATGATATTACGGGCAAAATACTAATTGAATTGCCAGACAAAGCAATAAGCTTCAGATCGATTGTAATCAATGCCACCTTTCCCCTGGGACACTTCCCTGATCAGTGGAAGAGAGCAGAGATAATTCTTATCCCCAAACTTGGTAACCAACTAGGTCTATAGGTCAATAAATCTTCTTCATACACTAGCTAAAGTTTGCGAAAAAGTTTTCGTTAAGCGGCTCAACAAAATCATATCTGTGTAAATGCTGATTCCTGATCATCAATTTGATTTTCGCAACCATCATGGTACAACTGAGCAAGTAAACATAATAACTGGGAAAATCAGGAATGCTGTTCAAGATAGGGAATGTTGGCTCCGAGACGTAGCTCAGGTTATCTCCTTGAACAAAATTTGTCATAAAAGGATATTACACAAGTTGTACAATTGGTTCCCTTTTATCTGAACACGCGTAGGTCATCAATTCAGATTGTTGACCTGACCAGGGTTGAAGACGTGGGATAGGTTTGGGTAACATTGTATTGTGTTGTTGCCGAGCTCTGAGTTAACGAGTTATTTATTAAAGCGAATTAAAGCCTTACGAGACCCGAGACTGGAATTTTAACACCTTAAAAAAAGATCCTCAACATTTTTCCTCAGTAACGTGTTACTACTTTGTTCAAACAACTAAAAAAACAACCACAGAACAGAGTCCCAATACCAATTATAAAGACGACGAGTTTTCTTGTGAAATCGATCTTTAATTTTTTTTGCATTAAAGACCCGATTTGCCAGTATGTTGAAATAAAACGTTAGAAGAACGCGGTTTTTCTGTTAGTAACAGTGTTGTTTAGAAATATTGACCTAAAAGTGAAAAAACCGTTGCCAAATACTTAAATAATTATAAACTGTTTGTTTATCTGTTCGGAGAAATATTTTTGAATAAAAACCGAGAAAAAAATATTAGGAACTTTCCGTCAATTTCCGTTCAAAGCTGCAAAAGGTTTTCCAAAAATGTTTGGAATGCGGTTAAGAAGACGAGTGTTCCATTAGAATGTCAGTATTTTTAAGTAAACTTGTAGAAAATAAGGCGTTTTTTTGGTAGACAGAATTGTTCTAAAATTTTGCTAAAACTGGAAAGACCCGAAATTTTAAAGAAACTTTTAAAATCATCTGAGCGATAAGCGCGGAGAATTTTTCAAATATTTTTTTGTAAACTTTAATAATAATAATCTTAATTACTTTTGGCAAAAACTAAATAAAATTATTTGGTTTTTGTGCCAAATTCGACGCTGAAAAGGGTTTTGTAAAGTTCTCTACAAACCAGTGAATGCGGCGAATTCTCAAATTCTCAAGCAAAATATTATTTTTGTCGGTTTGGCTGAAAAGACCCCATCATTGTGAGAAAAGAAGAAAATTATCAGAAAATTGTAAATTTCAATTTTCGTTTTGTGATCGGCTTTTGAGGAAACCTTAAAAATTTTCGGGGGAAAACGGGAGAAATTTAGAACTAGAGAAAAGTTTTTGTAAAATTCATACAAAGCTATAAATTTATCTTGTTTTTGGTGTAAAAGACCTCCAGATCGTCAGTTTGTTTAAATAAAACTGTACAAAATGAAGCGCTTTTGAATAGAAAGTAAAGCATAAAAAATTCAGTAAAGCTAAAAAATCACATCTTTTTTTAACAAACTCTACAGTCTTCAGAGGATAGTAACAAGTTTCCAAAGAAAGGATTGGGGCTGGAAAGGGATTTCAAAACTTTTTACAACAGACAATGCACCATCTGGTGCAGACCAAATTTGTTCATAAAGGTACTTATCACGTTTAAATTTTTTATTCAATTTTTAATCGCGATTAACTAACCGCGTTTAAGAACTAATCTGGTTTAAGAACCCAGCTGCTATTCACCGTTGAAATTCAGGGGTGGATTAGTTAAACCTTGTAGGAATATGACAACCGTGCAAAATCTATATAATTATTTTCCATAATGTCCAAAATTTAAGGTTAACAGAACAATCTGGTTCTGACAAAGTTGAATAATGTATGTTACGAGCTGATATTCTCATACTCGTACGTAGTTAAAAACCGTGGTATCATGGAAAAAGGAAAGCAGCCTCATTGCCCAAAAATCTATAGTTGTTATTAAAGCCAAGAAGGCCGGCAGAACTTCACAGCATATTAAATTACAAGCGTGGAAAAAAATGAATGCTATTTTAATTCCGATTGACAGAGTTCCTGGTACAAAGACTGGAGCGTCCTGAAACGATTCTATAGAAGCAAACATACCCTGTCTTGACTTGAATTAATACTCAGTTGTATAAGTTCTCATAGTGATAAAGCAAAGCTATTACTAAATTCGCTATTTTCTAATGTAGCCGTCAATCTGTAACTATTCAAAATTGTTGAATCGTGGGTAGTGCAAAGCCAATCAGCAATATTGTCCATAATTTTTAACCCGTTAAGTATTCATTGAAAAAATACGTCTTTTGTTTTCGAAATACTTCATTTTTCAAATCACAATCACAATAACTCTTTTTAATTAATATTAATATTATTTCGTCTTCCAAGTTAATTCTCCAACTTGCTAGGTTGAAAACAAAACCCTCAACTTGAAAGGTTATGCTATATATTTAAACTAGTTTAAGAACTTAATCCTCGGGCATGGACGGATTAAAGTTTAAGGACGCGTTTTAGGTGAAAACTGTACGGTACATACCGTTTCTGATGTTTAATCCGGTTTAACGCTTCATCGCGATTAAAGTCTGTCGGTGCATACGGGCATTAATACATACCAAGKTGTCTTTAAAATTGAATAAAATTTTGTAATTTTCCGCTGCTGACAACATTTAAATCGTTGTCCGAACTGGAATATTCAAAAATATAAYAAAATTGCCTTTTAGTTTTAGTAAGTTAATGCGGTCGTAACGCAATTACGTAGTAATKGAATAAWKCAACTTTCCAATTCGTACGTAGAGTGCTCCTTACAAGTTTTGTAATGTCTTATACAATTATATACCACTTTTCAAAAAATCAAGAGTTTGTTGAGCCGCCATGTTTATTCRAATTTTAAAAAAWTTCCYTATTCCCACARACTGCAATAGCAAACGTCAGGTGAACGCGCACAATGCGTATTTAATCCACACAACTGCTTCTCCAGTCCATATGGACTCGCAACTTGATCTTTGAATTTTTTCATTCGAACCCGAAAATTTCATATGGGCAGAGACAAACGAGAGGTTTTATTACGTGTCTCTAATAAGGGGGCCGAAAACCAGTCGGAAATCGGAAATATCGAAGCAAGGACTGCTATGCGATGGATCACGACGATGCGTTTACGGTATCACGAAGGAAAAACCGTAAGATATTGTCTTATTTTTTCTTCAGTTTGTATAGCGCGTCATGCTTTACAGACTTTCTTCCCTTTTGTATTTAACTTCATATCCTGCTTATTAGTACCCTAAATATTTGAACGGTTTTGCCATTGCCTAACTTGTTATGGAGGAGCGACTCCTATAGTTAGAATGTTACGGTTTATTTCAAAATTAATAAAATAAAATAATAAGACTTTCGGTTGGCCGACTTTTAGGGAATTCTAGGGGCCATGTTTCATTTGCTTCCATRGAGCGCACGCTCCTGCCGAGCACCTAAATCTTAAATTTAGACTAAAACATCTAGTTGATGAAGATGAACTGTTCAGGAGGTTGTTTCTAAAGGCAAAAGGAGATGGAGATACATTCACCATTTGCATAGGAACAATGCAACTGAAGTAACCTTGTGAATTTCGAAATGCATAGCAGCATTTACGGTTTTTGAAATTGAATTAAAAACTATTTACTTAAAAGAAAGCTTGTTAAAGGAAAGTATTGTTTGCCAGGTTTTTCGCACAAGCAGCATAATTAGTAAATACAGTGAACTGGAGAAATTAGTCTCATGAACTCAATCTATTCATTACTTCTTATTACTTATGTAGTACTTATTAATTTATGAAGGTTTATTACGGCAAACATTTAAGAAGATGCATATTACGGATTTGCAATTGTCAAAAGCCTTTTGTACGCGTTGTACCTCTGCCAAACAAGGATTTTTTTGGAACGGCTCATTTATCGATAATACATTTAAAAGCCCAAGTTTTTTCAAAGTACTTAACACAATTATTTATTGGTTGGCTAAGGTGAAAGTGAAGTACTCAACAAAAGTATAATGATAAAGGACTCACAAATTTGATATGATGACAATTACAAAAACTGGTTACTGTGGAAATTACTGGGTAAACCAAAATGGTAAGATGTGAAGAGGTTCATTGGTTATTGTAATGATATTTCTTTCAAATATAACGAGCTGGGAATTAAGTTAAGATCGAAAAATCGCACTATATTCGAGAATGCCATATCTTCGTTTGCGCCATGGCTTTTTGGTTGGTGAATTTAATTGGTGCATACCTGGGCCTTTTATCAGAGGTGAGTGTGGCATGATTGTATTCAGCTGACGAACAGGCTGGCACAATTCACAAATCTCGCAAAAACTGTGTACTTTAAAGACAATTTATACTTCGTTCATATCTCTTTTCCGTCTTGACAAATACTGTTTATAAGGCAGGTAAGATTTCAGTAATATAAATGGTGTTAGAATGACATCCTTCACGTCGTGTTTTTTTACTATGAAAACCAGTGAAACGCGAATATTTCAAATGATTTTAATATGCAGTCAACGGTAACGCATTTTGGTAAACAATAAATTGGTGTTTAATTAGTATTATACGGAGCAAGGAGGCTGTCTCATTAATCGAAATAACCAGACTTTTTATGCAAACTTCTATAGCATGGCATGTTTTCAATGACAACTCAGAGATGGGACATACTGTTTGTTAAAAGCTACAACATTGTAGTAAACTTTACAGTCTGATTTGATTTATGTTGTACGACTATTAAAGTAACTAAAAAAGACGACAAAATTTAATGACTTTGTAATTAGTTTGTAACTTTTCTTACATTCGAAAATGGTTCGAATGACGTGCCATCCATCGAGTACGAGCAAAGTTAAAGGCTTTCCATGAACTGTTAATGGAGTTAATTATATTACTAATAGCTCATAAATAATATTTTTGAAAGATGTGATTAGGGGTGTAAATGTACAGTGATAGATCATCATCGATGTTTTTTAAAATACAGCCCCTGGCGCACTAACAGCATGATAAGCCAATGAGCAAACTTCCAATAGCAACACTAACTGAATTTGTGAACGTTTGTGTTGGGTTTTTCTCAAGTGCCGGGACTAATTTAAAACTGATAACGCTTGATGTAAGAAAATAGGGTCAGCTTATAACGTTTTTCCTTCAAATATAGTAATTAAACGGTTCCTTTGAATATGCAACGTGGCCATTGATGTTGCAAAACGCCTACTACATTTAAATCTAAGTTATAATAAACGACAAAAAAGCAGTCTGAACGGTGATTTTTGCGCCATTCTATAGGAAAAACTATGTTTTCTACATGCTATGAATTCGCTTTAATTCCTCCAGTTTGATGACTTTAAATGCTACTTTAAGACTGATGTTGCAAGGTTTGCGACATTCGACTTCGGTTCAAAGTCAATTTTCAAACATTCGCTATGTAGAAACAAGAGCAGTTTGAACGTTGATATTTGCGTCATTTTGTAGGAAAAGCTATGTTTTCGACATGCTATGAATTCGCTTTAATTCCTCCAGTTTGATGAATTTAAATGATACTTTAAGACTGATGTTGCAAGGTTTGCGACATTTGCCTTTTCAAATTTTCAAAAATGTGTTATGTAGAAACAAGAGCAGTCTGGACGGTGGGTTTGGCCTCATTTTGTAGGAAAAATCGAATTCCCTTTGTGCTGTGAGTTTGATTTCAAGAAAACAGGAAAATTTCTGAAGAACAGTCACAAAAACTATAGACCAGACATCAACCAGAATATTCCCTTGACTGAATCCGAAAATAATTCTACACCTGGACCGACAGGCATGGATCAAAGCGTTTCAGTTAGAAATATGTATCCGTCACCTGAAGCTTCTGCAATTGTAATACGCTAGAAAAATTATAGGAGACGTGAAAAAACCGGGTAATTCTACATCTGAAATTGAAGAACTTGAACAAAAAATATCCGAAAAAGCAATGAAAGTAAGAAAGGACGAAGGTAGGAAAGTGAAAAGAATATCATTGCTGCTGACACAGAAGAGATTGTCGAGGCCTTTGAAGACGATCGATCGGATAACGTAGCTTGCATTTATTGCAACGAACTTCTCGCCCATTCACGACCGCGAGAAAGTGTATTAGTTGTCAAATATGCAAGTCTTGGTGCCACAACGAATGCGCCAGAGTTAGCAGCGTGTAAAATATTTGTTTGCGAAATATGCACATCAGATTTCTCTCGTTTCACTAAATTATGCTTATAGGAAGTTCTCCAATCACATGCAAGGTATTGTCGCCTGTTTTTTACATAACTTTTTCATTTGAATTTGCATACATTTCTGGTAAGGCAATGCATTAGTTTAAGGCGGTCGTTGGGTCCATCATATGATTATATGCGCCTATCATGGATCACTTGATGTTTCAAAAAATATCAGAAAAGTAAGAAGAAAGAGAAATATTTTTACCAAATCTAAGTTTACGTTTGGATTTTCCAACTAGATAATCTGCAAATTTAACTGTGATTTTGAAACAATTAGAACCAAAATAGTGGTTTGCGTCAAAGAACGAACCAATTGTGTTTGCATAAAAAAAATTTGCATTAAATCAGTGAATTTAGACGCTGAAGACAATTGTGCTCATTCAGTTCACGTTGAACAAATATACGACTTGTGCATGGGCTGCTAATTACTGTTAATGTCAAAAATTACCCAAAAATGTACCGAAAATAACGGTTGAAAATTAGCTTGGGCTTAGACTGGTTTTATGGTCAGAGATAGACAGTTGTTTGTTAATAGTGTAATAGTCGTATATTGGTAATAATTAACATTTGGTTAAAGAAAGTGCCAGTTTAGATAAAAAAAGGATCGTTGTTACTTCAAAGAGATTATTAATAACTTAAAGAGAGTAATCGTCCGCAAAACAAAAAATGTCTGCATACCTTTTTTCTATCACAAATTTAGATTTCTGGGAAATACATTTTAAACTTAGTGCCCGTGTAATTTAATAAATGTTAATGCGTCAATGAAAAGGAAGGAACGAAGAAACACTAATAGTCTAAATAAAACTGTAAGCGAGTTTCATTAAAATACATGCTAAAGATGCAGCCTCCATTGGAAACACAACTTAATTAGAGAGATACATTAAATTCCTATGAAATTTCATTAACAAACTGCAGATCACAATGCTACGATAATGCTGTCGTGATGGCAGGTCACATATCTCGCGTTCAACAAAGAATAATGAAAAACAATCATAAAGCATTATTTGTAAATTATGGTAACTATTCATTGAATTTAGTAGTAATTACAGCAGCTAAACAAGATTCAATCGTTGTGACATGTTTTGGACTAACTGAAAACATATATCTCTTTGTTTCGCGTTAAACGTTACGATGGCAATTATTAAAAAATGCTTTAGCAAAAATTGTCAAACGTAAATCTGAACCACGATGGAGTCGATGGGCTAGAGAATATAGCACTCTTAGAAAAATTAGCAGAGGGCACGATCATTACAAGTTACACCAGAAGCGAAGCTACAATTCTGTTGCAAAATGTAGCAACTTTTGGTTTCATAACTTTACTGAATTTCTGGTATGAAATATTATGGAGAATTGACCGTGTGGTGCTCAGACTACAAAATCTTAGAATGCATTTTAGAGAAGCGTTTCATGAAATCCATGATCTTGAATCATTAGCCACTGAACTAACCGAAATCCGAGACAAGCGCTGTGAAAAGGCAATAAAAAAGCGAAGTAACTTTGTGAAAAATGGAATATCGATACAACAATACGTGTAAGATAGAGAGTCTTACTGCAGAAAGTAAAAAATCTCACGTTATGAAAAGCGTTCTTGATCGTCTCCATCAAGAAATATGTATAGGATTTACACGACTAAGAGACCTTAATTTCAAATTTGGATTTCTACTAGACCTTGAAAATAAGGATAATGTTGATAACAACCTCTAAAAAATTGTAAAAGTTTGCAATACATAATTCAATGAAAGAGAACTCTTTATCGAAATATGTGACTGCAAAATGTTACTCCGCAGTAGAAAAGAAATTGAACCTAAAACTGAATTAGAATTTATAACTTTTATAATCTCGTATGGGGAAGATGTTTTTCCAAACCTGAGACACTTCAAATACTCCTGACTATCTCAGCATATTATTTATAAATTGGCTTCATCAAAAGTAAATTGGCTTCATCAAATGCTCAATGCTTATTTATTAAGTGCTCAAAAAGTGTGCTCCGGGCGCGAGTTAAGCTCACTACGCCACTGGCTCTAATTGGAAATGATCAGCAATATATATATTTTTTTTAAATGGCTAATTATGTCACACTTATTTTGCAAAAGTAAGTGCTGTTGGGTTGTTTTTGCCTATTAACAGAGCCAAACGCCGGTACTTTTTCAAACCATGAGCTCAGTTAAATTTTCCTTTGCAATTGAATAATGTCCATTTAAATAAGTTCGAAGAGTAATAAACAAATGGAATTTGCCATTGACACAAACAAATTGGTCCAAATTCATAACAAATTTTAATCGCTTTGTCTAGTGGAAATTGGAACAATTCAAAATTGAGTTGATGTGTGAAGCGTGAATCACAAGGCTATTGTTTGCACAGAAAGCGAAACGGTTTGCGATCGCCAAAATCAATGAATCTGTTAATGAAGCTGCTGACGATTTAATCTATTACGGCAAATAAAATATAGGGTGATTTACAAATGATTTTATAGATGTTTGAACTGGAATCTCAAATAGTAATTTTCCGACGGTTATAGAGAAACCTGACAATTTTCAATTGATTTGCTAAAAATTATTTAATGTATGAGGGAGAATCGGCAATTTCATTATTTAAGATCTTCGAGCTACGGGGTGTTAACCTAACTTTAATTAAATTAGCTTTAATTTTTGTTTTTTTCTAAGTAATTTTTGATATGCAATTGATATTTGGATGAAACTTGGCCTTTTTGGGATTCGTAACATGAGATCTGTAAATTTGATCTTGGTTCTGCTCTCTGACGCGTAAAAAGCTTTCTAAATGTCCTTTATTTTTAGAAAAGTCTTCATGTTTTGTACAGGGTTATTGATTGAATTTTGACCACTCTGCTTTAGCATCTAATTTGAAATTTAGAGAAAAATGTTGAATACTAAATTTGTAGATATTAACGTCTAGTTTATTTTAAGATAGCATCCCTTGATACACGGTGTCTCAAGTTCATTCCTCGCCCTGTGTGTTTGAAATTAAAACTGCTTTTATTTTTTCCTATTTTTCATACTGCGGCTCATTTAATACTTACACTTTCAGTTACTACATCTTTTCAAATGTACACAATCGACTAAAGACACTTAATTGCTGCACAAGAAGCCAAATATTAGACCGCATTCGTATCATTCAGATTATAGGATCTATTTGGGGTTCATCAACTAAAATATTTCACATTTAAGTTCATTTAAGTCTCACAGTAAGTTTGATGCATGCATTATGGACGCTTTAATTTTCTTAATTAGAATCGTTCGAACAAGTCATTTGTTGACATAATAAACTCTCGTATGTTTAACCAAATGTTGCAGTAATTCTAGCGATCTAACCATATTGATAGTCGCTAATGGATCATTGAGCTTCTTCAAAATACTCGTTATTAACAAAAGTGAAATTTCTTACGCAAAAATATTAACGAGAAATAAACCGACATTTTCTATAATCTGTTGGATGTTCAAAAGCCCCAGTAATGCAATCAAGAAAATTTCTTTTAATGACGCGAATGTTGTATAAAATAAAACCATAGTCGAAAATAAATCTGGTCTGAGGGTTTTGTTAAACGGCGCAAAATGCTACATGTATACTCCGTACACTATAACTCTGATCGAACGTCATCAGTCGTCTGTCGCGCGTTGTTGCCATACCCGCCATAAATTCTTTGGTTCTCCCGCTCTTGTTCGAAATATCGAATTAAATTTGCCACAAGTTCCTTGGAACGGTTATCTAATGGCTTCGGCATGATGTTCTCACTTTAAGCGTTCAACAAGTCACAGAAATTTTGCCAAACTTTACACAATACTTTGAACTCAAAGCAGTATTAAATAATCTCAATGCTGTCTCGCTTCTTCTGATTACTGTTTATGGAATAATGGTTTTCAAAAGCACAAATATACCGTCAATGCAAAATCATGGACAAGTACGTGATAAATGCAACAAGCAAACGTCATGTGTCTTTAGAAAATTTCCGACAAATCTACGGTCGATTTGGCAGAATTGTAATTATCACCAACCTAATAACTTTAAGTTCTTTCGCATTT